TATATATATATGAACTGGAGAAATATTGAGACTTGAGATTTTTATTTTTAAATTTCCGATTACTGAAACAGGATGTTCGTACAGGGAAGTTGACAGTACGATTATACCTGGTTCACAAGGTAAGATTTAAAAATTGACGGTCGATTTTCAAAGACAGAGACCCAATACACAACAATGTAAAATATTACAGGTTTGGTGTGTGGTGTACACAGCCATGCAGCAAATAGAACACACCACACGACTACATTTCAGTCGCAGTTCAGATGTCTGACAGTTTATTGGGTAGAATCTTTTTGACTAAAATGGAGAGTATTTCAAGATGCATCTATCCAGCGTATTCATTAGCAATCTCTAATAGAGCCATCAAAAAATTAATCAGGTTAATTTTAACTACATATGGAGAAAAAAAAGACAATATATTAAAAAACTGTGTTAACCAAAAAATATGAGGAGTGGGGACTAGAAGCAATTGACTTTGAATACATGAACATAATTTAAAAATTAACTGGTTGAAATCTAATACCCTCTGGTTTCATATCAGACAAATCTTTAAGATGCTAGGAGGTATTGAGTTCTTACTAARATGTGATTTCCTAATTCAAAAGTTGCCCATAAAGTTATCTCTTTTTCATCAACAGGTCCTTTTATATTGGAAACTCCTAAATAACCATAACTTCACTCCTCACAATTCTCCCATTTGGAATAATAGATACATTACTGTTAGAAACAAATCTTTATTTTATAAGGAATGGTTAGATAAAGGTATTTGGTCACCAGTTCACCTTGTGGATAATACGGGCTGGTTTCTATCTTATTATGATTTCTGTCTTAATTATGGAAATTTTACTAATGCAACAACATTCAAGCTCGTTACCAAAGCTATTCTAGATTCTATTTTACATTTGATTAGCGGTGTTGTAACAACATCCACCAATTTCACATGTCCTCAACTTCCACTAATCTTACGTGGTGACTGTAATTTCAGAGAAATTCCAATTCAAAACAAAACTATCCAATATTTATTCATTCATGTCTTGTTTCCTTTTCAATCTTACAAAAATTCTGTCTTAAATTTCTTTCCTAAAGATAACGTGCCTCTTTTGAGAATGCAATATTTGAAATTTCCTATTCTCCCCAAAATGAAAGAAATTGATTACCGAACATTTAATAATATATCCCTCTAATGACTTTTTGCATCAGCGTTTTGGGTTTAAAACAAACCGCTGTTCTTTCTGTAATATTGATATTGAAACGACCGACCATTTATTTTTTCTTTGTAATTTCTCTGGTATTTTTTGGCAAGATGTTTTTAAATGGTTACATCCTAGTTTTTCACAGCTGGAAAATTTCAGTCAGAAAGACATTATTTTTGGACTTATACTGGACTGTAAAAATACATCCCTTTTAGTGAACACTGTTATAATTTTTGGCAAATCATAAATACACAAAGCCAAATGTAAAAAAAGTCTCCCAAATTTTGTGTCTTTTTCAATGAGTTTCCAATCTATTTAAACCCTTAAAATAATGGTGTCTCCTATAGCTAAGAAACTCCATCCATCCATCCATCCATCCATTTTCTTCCGCCTATCCGGGGTTGGGTCGCGGGGGCAGCAGCTTCAGAAGGGAGGCCCAGACCTCCCTCTCCCCAGCCACTTCTTCCAGCTCCTCCGGGGGAACTCCAAGGCGTTCCCAGGCCAGCCGAGAGACATAGTCCCTCCAGCGTGTCCTGGGTCTTCCTCGGGGCCTCCTCCCGGTGGGACGTGCCCGGAACACCTCACCAGGGAGGCGTCCAGGAGGCATCCTTACCAGATGCCCGAGCCACCTCAACTGGCTCCTCTGGACGTGGAGGAGCAGCGGCTCTACTCTGAGTCCCTCCCGGATGACCGAGCTTCTCACCCTATCTCTAAGGGAGAGCCCAGCAACCCTGCGGAGGAAACCCATTCCGGCCGCTTGTATCCGGGACCTCGTTCTTTCGGTCATGACCCAAAGCTCATGACCATAGATGAGGGTAGGAACGTAGATCGACCGGTAAATCGAGAGCTTCGCTCTCTAGCTAAGAAACTTCTCAACATTATTGAAGAACATAATTTAGCAGTTTTTTAGCCTGTTTTTATATTGATTTTTATTTTATTTATTCTGTTCTGCACCTATGCCTCTTTATTTTGTATTTGAATACGTATTTGTAACACTGCCTTGTGGTTTGTATAAAGCTTTCAATTAAATAAATAAATAAATTTAAAAAAAGATGTCTGACCGGAATTCTCGCGAGACATCCCGAGACCAAACGTGAGTTTATAGTAAACAAACATGGCGGACGAAGAAGCTGCCATGGCGATAGTTTGTGGATTATTTCTAAGCGAGAAAAAGCGACAGAAAAAGAAAAGGCGTTGGGTGAAGGAGTTGAGACAACGTGAACAAGGTCTCGACTTGTTACAACACGATATGGAGGTGAATTGTTTCTTTTTTTCCTCTGGAAACGTCGTTAATGCTGTTTATATTTACGTTCAATGTAAACACACAACATGTCAGTGTTCTCTGGTCAATCTGTTGTTTCATTGATTGAGTTTTCTTGGGTAATTACGATTGAAATAAACGTGCATGAACTTCATGACATACCTGTATATAATTTTTAATTTGTGGTGTTCTGTTGTTGTTTTGTAATGTTTGCATGTACATGTAGTGGACTGCAGCTGTTGCTTTCTTTGTGTTGTCTTATTTGACAGATTTCTGACAGGGCGGGGTTACTTCACATGAACAGGGAGGAGCTCCAGTTCGTCCTCAACAAAGTCGCACCCTTCATCACCAAGCAGGACACCAACATGAGGCTGTCCATTTCTGCTAAAGACAGACTGGTACTGACTCTCAGATTTTTGGCAACAGGTTTGTTTGCATCAGTCTGTTTTGTTTATTGCGTTATATTTTACTTAATAAGGTGAATGTCACTCATGTTGTTTGTGTTTTTATCCTGTAGGAGAATCTTTTACATCCTTAAACTTTCAGTTTAGGGTTGGAAAGTCAACAATTTCCAAGATTGTGAGGGAAACATGCGAAGCCCTGTATGAGGCATTTGCTGAGGATTATCTCAAGGTAACTAATACTAATCATGTCTAAAGTAGTGTACAGTTAAGTCCATATCTATTTGAACACTGACAAAGTTTTTTTCTCTTTTTTACCTGTTTATTGAAACATATTCAAGTTATAGTTACTGTTATGGTAATATTTATTCAACAACAGAGACAGAAATACGTGGTCCAAGAATGAAGGTACTCCGTGAGATGATCAGCTGAGTTTTATTGCAACAACAGGAAACACAGAGAACCTGGCCTGTCTCTGTGCYTCTGCTTCTCTCTGTCAGTTTCTCCACACTGCTGTTGAACTCTGTTGTCTCGAGAGGCCTCATATATATATATTAACAAACACCATTCTGTCATCTTAGCAAGATTTGATACAAGGTCAATGGAAAACACAAAGATAAACACAAGTGATATCTAAGAATGATTATTGTTGTTAGCAAATCTTGTTCTGACTTTAATCATTCTATCTGCAGATGGACAGCATGTCATGAAAACCTAGTTCATTAAAGGATGTCATGAAAAACTAGCTTAAACATAAAGTATTAGATCCACCACAGTTACAGTATTTAGATTAGAGCTGCCCACCACTGAGAAGAGGAATATTCTTGAATGTCCAAGTCAGTCACCTGATCTCAACCTAACTGATCATTTCACTTGTTAAAGACTAAACTTCAGACAGAAAGGCCCACAAACAAACAGCAACTGAAAACCTCTGCAGTGAAGGCCTGGCAGAGCATTAAACAGGAGGAAACACAGCGTCTGTGATGTCCATGAGTTCAAGACTTCAGGCAGTCACTGTCATCAAAGGCTTTTCAACCAGGTACTAGAGATGAACATTTTTTTTTACAATTATTTAATCTGTCCAATTACTTTTGAGCCTCTGAAATGAAGGGAATTGTTTTTAAAAAATACTTTAGTTCCTCACATTTCATCATTTTGTTCAGCACGCTGAACTTCAACTGCATCTGAAATGTTTTGTTCAAAACGTATTGTGGTCATTTACTACGGAGCCCACGAGGGGACACGGGAGATTATTTTTCTTTTGCGTTCCCACGCAGTAGTATCACTGTTGTGCCTGCCGGTTTATTAACAAACTTACGTTCACCATTAGCGAGTTAGCCTACTGCTTTAATTCAGCTTCAGAATGAATATATCACACAGCCACACATGGAAGTGTATCATATGTCGATATTTTAACACTGTGCAGCCACGCAACATCAATGTCAATTTCACGAACTTGTGGCGACACATCCTGTTTTGGTAACCGGATATTTCAAAATAAAAGTCTGATTTAATTCAGTTCATATTCAAAACAAACTTTTGCGTGGGAACGCAAAAGTATTGCGAGGGAACGCAAAAGTATTGCGTGGGAATACAAAAGTATTGCGAGGGAACGCAAAAGTATTGCGAGGGAACGCAAAAGTATTGCGAGGGAACACAAAAGTATTGCGTGGGAACGCAAAAGGTATTGCATGGGAAAGCAAAAGGTATTGCAAGGGAAAGCAAAAGGTATTGCGTGGGAACGCAAAAGTATTGCGTGGGAACGCAAAGGTATTGCGTGGGAACGCAAAAGTATTGCGTGGAAATGCAAAGGTATTGCATGGGAAAGCAAAAGGTATTGCATGGGAAAGCAAAAGGTATTGCAAGGGAAAGCAAAAGGTATTGCGTGGGAACGCAAAAGTATTGCGTGGGAACGCAAAGGTATTGCGAGGGAACGCAAAAGTATTGCGAGGGAACGCAAAAGGAAAAAAATCCCCCATGTCCCCTTGCAGGCTCCGTAATTTACAGAACCAAAATGAGGAAAATGTTGTCTCTGTTCAAATAGATCTGGACGTAACTGTTTGAAATTATAGACACCTTGGACAAGACCAAATGTTTGTTAAATATAGTTGAATGATGGCATTATGCCCCCTTGTGACGTTTAATGTCCTACTCACAACACAAAATGGGTAAAGGTACCTATTGTGAGATGGTTAAATTTAGCAGCCCTAAAATTTATCTTGTTTAATACATGTAATGAACTGTTTCATACATTAATGTTGTCTGTTTTTCACCATATGGCTCCTTTGTGTTAAACTTTAATAAAATGTTCGGTTTATAGTTAACAATCACTTCAAACGGTGCAGTGGTCCTTTACACCGGAAGTTAAATTATTTAGGATCTTTGCACTCAATATATAAATTGTAATTAATACATGTATAAAACTGTCATTTCAGACACCAAATACAGAAGAGGAATGGCTGGAAATTGCACAGGATTTCCATCAGATGTGGCAGTTCCCCAACTGTCTTGGTGCCTTAGATGGGAAGCACATTAACATTCTACCTCCAGCTCATAGTGGAAGCACCTTCCGAAATTACAAGGGACAGTTTTCTGTGCTGATGATGGCTCTTGTTGATGCTAAGTACCAGTTTCTGTATGTCAGTGTGGGAGCACAGGGTAAGGCATCAGATGCTGGGGTGTTTGCTGAGACAGATTTCAAGCAAGCACTTCTCAATATTCCAGCAGCTAAACCTCTCCCTGGATCTGACATACAAGCACCCTTTGTGTTCCTGGGTGATGATGATGAAATGATGATGAAACCATACTCCCTTCATCAGGTGGACTATCAACAGAGAGTGTTTAACTACAGGCTTTCTCGAGGACGCAGAGTGGTGGAAAATGGATTTGGACTACTGGCCAACAGGTGGAGAGTATTGCTCACCACCATAATGCTCAGTGCAGATAAAGTACAGAAGGTGGCCTTAGCTTGTGTGTGTCTCCACAATTATCTGTGTGAGATTCAGTCTGACACATATGCACCTCCAGCCCTGACTGATTCAGAAGATGGTGAGCACAGATTTGTGGAGGGTACTTGGAGACTGGATGGTCTGGGAGCCATGCTCCCTCTTCAACCTGGTAGACCCTGCAACAGCTCCATGGCTGCCAGACAAACACGAGACAAGCTGAAGAGCTACTTTGTTACATCTGCAGGCAAGGTGCCCTGGCAGGACAACTATATTTAGGCTTAGACAAATCATTTCCAGTGTTTTGTGTATTTTTCTTTTTTGCACTGATATGTTTATAGTTCTGTAAAGACAAGATTTTTTACTTGATGTTCTTCAATAAAATTTATGACAAAAAATACTTCCTTGAGTTTGCGATATTTTAAGATTATGTTATCTTCAGTTTTATTAATATTTATATCCAATGTTAATATTTTATAATGATATTCAAAGTGTCATCTGTGATTACCTAAGCCCCTGCTTGACCAAATGGTTTAACATTCACTAGCATGGACCACGCCACAAAGATATGATTTAAAAGTTTATTGTAGGGAGGGGTTGAAGGGATGAAGAAGTGAGGGGATGAAAGGATGAAGTTTGCTCAGTCATCTGGGGAGAATGCTCGAGGGCTTGAGAAGCCTTTGGGAAAATGAACGCCATCAAATTTTCCCGAGCCCGCATAGAATCCCCCACCCCCCACAGACGGAACCTGTAGCAAAAAGAAAAAATGGTTTTGAGATCAAGGGAAGGAAGATGAGGATGATGAAGGGGCAGAAGGAGAAAAGGTGATGGGATGAAGAGGGATGAGGTGAAGGAGGGTAAGGGAGGGTGGTGTTGACAAAAACGTAACACACTGAGGAATGGGTGAGCAGAGATTAAATAGGCTGGCAGGGTAATTAGGAGGTGTGATTTGGGCGTGGTCCTGCTCCCGAACCTAAGTTAACATGTTAACTTCATATCAACAGGAACGCACGTAAAGAGCGATGTAACATCAAAGGAGATCATGGTTTCATCCATCTCCATGATGACATCCCTCACCTTGTTCACAAAGTCCATGGTGTTCTGTATGTGATGTTCTGAGCTGCCAACTAATGGACCAAGTATTGACACTAGATATGTGGAAACATTGTAAGTGACAGAGTTGATCATGCTGACAATGGGTCTTACCGRTACATCCTGTTTGTGAATTTTGGATAAACCATACAGACTAGGAGTGGCCTCACCTGGGTACAGTGTGTGGTACAGAATATGGTTAATGGCCTTGTCCTGCTCTAACTTTTTCACACACTTTATCAACTTCTTCTTGAATCCACTTCCTGGATCTCTTTTCAGTGGCTCGTATGTAGTCGTGTCAAGTAGCCTGTAGTCTGAAAAGTAGCTTCCTGTTGATTTTTTCAATTCCATCTTCAACACAGACGTCTTTAAAATGTTCATAAGTTGTCTAATATGACAGGGCCTTAAGCAATGTTATGCAGCAGGTAACATTTCAATAAGAGGTGGCTCTGTACATGACTGTATTTTTGAGTTAACTAATTTCAGGTAGAGGTGAAAGAAATGTCACCACAGAGGCTTGTCTTTTAAAACCATGTCTGTTAGATGGGAACAACTAAAAAGAAATGGACAAAAGAGTTTACGGAGTATCCAAATTTTGTGAAGAAAAAAAATGAAATGGTAAATGGACTGTACTTATATAGCGCTTTTCTATCCATCCAGGACACTCAAAGCGCTTTACACTGTAATTAGAAGGCTGTATACGAGATTATCATCAACCTTAAACCATGATATACTCTTATGCATGGGATCCATACTAGTTGTAAAATCCCAATCAAGTGCAGCTCGCAGCTTTGTTTTGAACAATTTGCAATTTCTCTAGAATCTACACCTTTTTTTTGCGCCACTGAACCACACAGCAGGACAGTAAAGAGGACATAATACTAAAGACTATATTACCAATTTTCTTATTCCATAAAATGTACGAGCATTAGACCAAATTATAGCAATATTTCTTTTCATTTTAGTCCCCATCTTTTGAATGTGTGCTGACCACAATATTATTTGATCAACTGAAACTTCCAACAGATTTTCTGTAACTTGTTCAATTTATTGGGTATTTAAAGAAATATCCAGCATTGAAGTGTCTAATAAAATATTTAGAGTCCAGTATCATACAGGTGGTTTTTGACACATTAGGTTTTCACCTGTTCTCAGTTGCCCACTCATAAACAGACAGTAGTTCTTGCTGTAACGTCTCTATTGCCTGATCTAAACTACTACCAGTGCTGGAACTGTTCTGGGCCAGCAACGTATCTGCAGCTGGCCCATGTGTGAACCAACGCCATCTGGGCCACCAAAGGTCAATCTTTTTTGCCGCTCGTGAGCAAAGTGAGAGTAGTGTGTGTCTCAGAACTGTGCCAGACCAATTTTGATATATATGTATGCACAGCAAAGTCAAAATATAGTTTTTTATATAAACATAAAACAATTAGCTTACCTTTAAACAAATGTTATTTTTGTAATAAGATTGTTTTACATTTCAAACTTGGTAAAATAAATTTATCATAACAGTAAAATAATAAGGTTTGTCTAATTTACTTACTGAGATGTTATTTAAGTACATTAAGTGCATCAGAAGGAAATCCGATGCTTTAACTATAAGAACGCTCCTTGTGGGTCAAAAAACAAACAAACATAAAAATAACTATTCTAAAAGAAAGAAAGAAAAAAAGATTAAATCTGTCTATTTCTAAAGTCTACTCCAAAAGAGGAAATCATAACATGGCGGGTGCCAGGATGGGTACAAAGAAGGTTGAGGCAATAATAATAATAATAATAATAATAATAATAATAATAATAATAATAAATAAACTGTTTCAATGGCTGCTTGGTCACAAACACCCAGAATTCAGTGAGATTGCAAGTGAAAATTCAGCTACTATGAGTCACTGTCAGGTCTGAACCAGTCACAGCAAAGTGAGGTACTGGCTAAAAGAAAAGAAAACCTATTTGATGAGTACTTGGAAAAATGCAGCATCGTAAAAAAAAAGTTTTCTGAATTTGCAGTGCTACAGCTACATTTTTATAGGTTGTAAAATTTGAAGAGAGCAGCAGGTTTCAACACAGTGTGAATGGGGCAAAATGAACGTTTTATACACACATATACTGTATATAATATGTTGATAGTTAAAAATATTAAAACTTTATGTATTTTTATGCTTTTGTGATGATCTTTGGTCATGTCTGTGCTTTACTATATAAACCCTATAAATAAATAGTTTAAAATCTTTTGCTAAACAAAAAAAAAACTAATCAATCAAGCCCTTTAAAACATAAAAAGCTACTTTCTAGCTCAGTATGAAATTTTGAAATAATTGATTTTTTAAATCAATAAACATGAAAAGCTTCCTTTACTCTTGGTTATGATAAAGTAGAACTTTTTTAATAGATTTAGAAAATGACAAATGTATAAATAATATTCAGCAACACACTATAACACAAAAATCTTTGATTTAAAGGTTTTCAAAAAAACCTGAAAAGTTCAGTTATTCAAGCGTTTGTACCCTGATGACTCAGTCTGAGATTTGTCTATAGAAAGAAGGTGTCTGCTCAGGCACATCATCATCTTGGGCAGACGTTGTGGTCAGTAATGAGTTTTTCCATCCTCTTTATCTTGCGTTTGTTCTTGGGCATGGGTTTGTCATACATGCCGTTCCTGAGGAGATGCTCTTTGCTGTGATGAATTTGAGCTCCGTGCTGCAGCTGGAAGGAGCACAAGGCCTTCAGAGGTCTCAACAAGACCTGCAAGTCATCAAAAAACGACAAATATTCAGATTTTCCAATAAACCCTTTTCTGAATACTAGGTTTAACTCGCTTGGTCGAGATTAGGGTTGGGTATTGAAAGTGTTTATTTCGATACCGGTGCTAAATCGATACTTTCAAAACGGTACCAGTTCCTAAACGGTAATTAAATCGGGACGTTAAAAATAAATAAATAAAATACACACACTCACAGAGGTTTATGAGGCAATGACTATTTCTGAGTCAAAGTCAAACTTGAAATTGACCAACATATTAACTTAAAACCATTAATAATTTGTCTTTGCACCAAATATTCTTAAAATTGTAGGTAAAATTGTTGTAGGTGGAAGTTTCTGCATCCTATTTTGTAACGTGACACCACACTTTGGACCGTTTTGCTTTCAACATCTTGACCATAATACATATATAACTGTTCACTGCAGCGGCACCTGTTTAGCCCCTCTCCATGAACTCCGTTCTACTCAATTCACTTTGGGTCAGGTCGGTTCTGCTCAGTGTCAGTGTGTCTCCACACAGTGGGTGTGTGGACGGTCTGCAGCGGCTTCAACTGTTGTGTTCAAAATAAAATAAAATAAAATAGCCGTTGTGGTCTTGCCGTTCGGACTTCACTTTATTTATTTATTATCACGGTGCTGTTTAGCTAAGTGCTTGTGTAACTGTGGGCGGACATTTTGTTGATCTGCTCAGCTTTGTCTCCTTCATCTCTCTCCAGGAAGTGTTTACAAGTTCTGCCTTTCCCAAAAAGGCAGTTTTATTTCACCATGTTGTCGTATCGCGCTGCCCGCTTGTATTGCTAAACAAAAGCAGCTCTCTCCAGGAGGAAATTTGCTGTCAGTCACTCCAAGAGTTAATCCATGGGCAGAATTCTGCTGATGTCAAAATCTTAAGTGTGCTGTACTCACTTCTACCCGAACCACAGGAGAGGAGGTTCTGAGACAGCTCGGCTGTGGAGCGAGCTTGGAGACGCATTGGGCCGAGACTGAGCCAAGTCGAACTGTGTCCGCGTGGCTTGTGTGCCGAGGCTGTCATTGTTAACAGTGAACAACAGTGAACACCAGGGGGCGCACATTAACAGCTTTCGTTGAGGCACCGAAATAAGGCACCGAAGTTAGAGTTGTGTTTCGGTCTGTGTACTACCGTTGATGTTCACCCCGGTGCCATACTGGAACCGAGTTTCAGTACCCAACCCTAATCGAGATACACAAACTATATCAGCCAAGCCTTTATGTCATATTTTTAATTTGTGTTTTGATTAATGTGTTTGTCCAGATTCAAGGGAAATTTCTAAACTTTTTCCATGTCTAAAAACTCTAAGAAACCACTGACAGGACAAAACAGCAGACCTCTGAGCAGTTTACCTGTCATGAGTAAACTGTTGACTGTAAAATTATCTTTCAACTACAAGTGCTCTTCTGTTAGTTTTGCAGCTTGTTTTACTATTTTAGGATTATTTATCCCCCTTACAAGATTAATATTGTTGAATTAATAAGGTTAAATATTAAAGTTTTAAGTCACAGAAAACTAAATGTGCTTATTCTCTATGAGAATGTGATGAATTGTAAAATTGTCACCAAATCACCTCTAGGATCTCGTCGTTCTGCTCCAGGACCGACAAGGTGACAGCGGCACATTCCAGCGTGGACAAACAGATGTTGGAGGGCTGAGTCCGGATCACATACTGGCTGGACAGAGTCCTGTGGAGCTGCACCTGGTAAATCAGCAGAGGTGACCAATAATTCAGTGTCATACTCTTGATTGACTGACCGACATACATGCATACATACATACATAAATAAATAAATAAATATGTTTATACACTGCTTAATAAATATTAAATCCTGGCATGTTTCAACTAGAGTCATTTAAAAAGAATTTCTGTTAAAAGAATTGTCATGGTATTACAGGTTTTAAAACTTTTTCTCCCCAAATAAACAGACCAAATTCTACATACATAAAAACATTTGTCTTCCATCAGAGCTTTAAAATAATTAAAACGTTTCCCTGGATGTTTTCTAGGTTTGATTTCAAAGTAAAACCTACAAAAAAGAGCAAAGAGGATGAAATATAAGAGTATATGAAAACCCATGTACTGTATAGGCTACATAAAACATCAGAAAAAAAATATTCAAGCAAATCACTTAGACTACATCTGACCAATGGATGTAGTCCTGTGAGGTTGTTACATTTCCCATAAATTTCAGAAATAAAAATAACAATAAGTCATTTAAAAAAAAATACTGGATTAATAATTATGGTCAAATTTCAGACAAGAGATTCTACAATGTGGACTCACATTAACAAATGATTTAAACTGACTGATTTAAACATCTTATTTGTGACCTTTCAGACTCAGTAAAGATGCTTTGATGACTGAAACTACAGATCTTATTACTTCCTCTTACACCAAAGGACATGGCTGTACATACCTGTTTTGGCAGGTGGAACATGCTGTTTTTTAGGAACATGTTTTTAGCCTGGCTCCATGTGCCATCTATGATGATCACGCTGTGTTTGACAGTACCGACCTCTCGGTACCGGACTAACTCCTCCAGGTTTTGGGATTTAGGACCAGGGTACAGGATGAGTGTTCTGTCATCCTGACACACAGCAGCAAGCTCTGGGTGCCTATGTTTGAAATAATAAAACAAATGTGAGCCATTTGAAAAATGTTTAGGCATATTTAAGTTATTAAAATACTGCTAACGTACTTTTCTTCATTGAATTTCCTTCCCACTATAACATTGCATTTTCCTTGTGGCAAACAAGCAGCAAGGAGAGGCACAGTTCGAAGTACTCTGCTTTCCTAAAGGCAGAGCAGAAAGTGAAAATTTAAATACAGCATTTTTTTTACATGTTAACGTCATTTAAAGGTAGGTTTGATGCAGGAGAAAATCTAAACACTGAATGCTGTCCATGAGGCTGACACTCTGTCTACTTTTAAGATTAGACTGAAGACTTTCCTTTTTAATAAATCCTATAGTTAGACTTAGGTTTCCTGAATTATTCTTCATTTCTGCTGCTATAGACCTTAGACTGCTGGAGCACAAACTGAGCACATTTCCTCACTCTGCTGTTGTCTTTAGTCTCTCTTCTCTACATGTTTATTGTAATTATTTCTATCATGTTTTTTCTTTGTCTCTTCCAGAAGAAGGTGCACCTGGACCAGTCCTGGACCAGTTCTTCTGTGTTTGTCTGTGTCTCTTTCCTGTCCCTCAACCAGCCGGTCGAGGCAGATGGTCTCCTGTCCTGAGCCTGGTTCTGCTGGAGGTTTCTTCCTGATTAGCAGGGAGTTTTTCCTCTCCACCGTTTGCTCAGGATGGGAGACTGTGATGAAGTGATTCAACACAATCTGCTGGTTTCTTCTTTAGATTGTTCTTTTTATGTACAGTGTCCTGAGACGACGTATGTTGTGACTTGGCGCTATATACATAAAATGAATTCAAATATGTGCAACAATGTCCCAATTGTCTACTTTATTCCCATTATTCATGATTATAAAGTATACATAATAGAAACTGGGATAAAATTGTTCTTTTCATTAAAGAAAAAGCAACACAAAAGTCTCAAACAACTTAAAATCAACAAAAGTAAAAAAAAATCTGTAAAAAAAGACTGAAACTAATTGGACTATAGAGACATGTTAAACTAAGGTGGGTCCTGTAATCAACATCACAGGTGTCTTCATTCTTGTAATCAGTCAGTCGGCCTGTTTAAAAGGGTGAAAGGTAGTCACAGGGCTGTTTGACATCGTGATGTGTACCACACTGAACATGAAGCACAGATAACAAACAACAGCGTCTCAGGAGCTTAGATGCAATTTATTGATATCATGTTAAAGATGATAAGAGCATCTTGGTGACTACAGTTGCACAGATTATTCAGATGCTAAGGTCCACCAGACTGTAATTACCTCCTCTGGATGTGGTCACGAAAGAAAAACGAAGGAAAAATTAAAGAGACAGGTAGTGATGGATAAACAGAGGCTTTCTGAATCACTGAATCAATATGGATCAATTGCGCCATCTGCTGGCCAAGCTGTACCATTGCAGCTGCATGAAACCATGAAGGACAAGGCGTTTCATGAACCAGTCAGCCTCTGTTCTGTATAAAAAAGCTTCTACACGCATCTTGAACGTTCCGTTTTAAGAATAATAAAATATTACCGTAAAATGAGGCTGTGCCTTCACAAAACACTATGTGATGAAGACAGGTGCTGCTCTGTGAAGCAGCTCTGATCTTATTTTTAGAAACCTGGAGCTTTTTGTTCATAATTATTGCTTTTCTTAACTAAATACGTCTAGTAAACGTCTGTATTGTTTTTATTAATCATAGCATTTTGCTACAGTAGCTACAGCTCCCACATGGGAGCCACGTCCACTACTCCAACACGATCACACAGTAATTCTGAAATAGCTTTTATTTTATCTTTACAAATACCTCACACAACTTTCCTCCACATATTGATACCTAAAACAGAAGTTAATTATTCAACGGGATCATTACAAAAATACTCTTTGGCAAGAAATATTAAATCACTAAAAACTATTTTAAAATAAGGAGTAAAATGGAAATTTTCGTGCGGGGCCGGGG